TTATTTTACTAGATATATAGACCTATGTGATTTGTCTGCGTGTCCAGAGGAAGACTATAGCGTGATGAGGAGGTCCCTAGAGAACCGCTAGACCGTAGAGAAAAACGCCGGGGAAAAAACCGTCTGAATCCTTAGTCCTGAAAGCATATCATATATATGAATATATCCTGCATAGTATACCTGGTATACCTAGTTATATATAAACGCACAACAAGTGCGACATAAGCGGTACTGTTTTAATAGGCCCCACTGTGCGGTCATAACGCGTATCGTTGAGCAATTATCGTTATTTTTTTTCCATTGCTGCCAACAATTTTGATCCCTTCAGCGCTGCATTATTATTTTTACGATTCACTAAGACTCAGTGAGTGTACTTGACTTTTGAATATAGCGTAACAGCTCCGGGAATCAATTAAATATCCAAGAATAAGGTATCCTCTAACGGAAACGGCTAACTGTTATTGGCAGAATTGGCCAATGATTCACAACAAACATTTGAAATGCCAACTTATTAAAAGATAAATGATTTAAAAATATTTGTTGACAAGAAAATTACATTTTTGCTGCATCTGTTGTCTAAATTTTAAATATTTTTTATTAAAAGTTTACAGTTTTCTCTACAATGTAAAAAAGGCAATTGTATTAGCTTTATAATATTATGTTTGCAAAATATATGTGATTGAAACGTTATACAATTTAAAAAAAACTCAAAATGTATGGTTTTAAAAACAATTTTTTAATAAAGACCAACTAGTAAAAGTTTAGTTTTAGAAAAAAAATAAAAAATGTTTAAATTTGTTAGTTAAACATTCTTGAATTTTCGTCTTAGTGTTTATATAGATACAATTGACCAAGACTCTAGGAAATAATTATAATTATTAAGTGACGTACAGCCTATATATATCATAAGGTCAAGTAAGATAGATAATTTAAAACAAATAAGGCAAACTAGAGTGCATTTTTTTTTCATAGAAATAATTAAATCCTTTTATGTGTTAACGCATCTTATAATTCAAAGTTTTCAATTAATAAGAAAAATTATTGTTATTTTTATAAAAAAAAAATGCATTTACATTAGCCCTCCTTGGGCTAATGTATAAATAGGTATACCTATTTATCCTACATGACCCCAGGTGTACTAGTCGGTTATTTTTAATAAATACAAGTTTTTGGTAGACAAACAACACAAGTCGAATAGCACTTACGTCTTACACGATTTGCAAACGCAGATATTATAATATACGTGCGATACATATTAAATGATGCATGTGTGTGTGTGTGTGTGTGTACATATGATAATGTTCAGAGTCCTTGAACTGGTACCTCACAGAGGTAACCTTGAACTCATCGCGTGCGACCCACGATTGTAGTGTGTACTTAATTTTCTGTTTGAAAAGACTAATCGCATTACCAAGGAAACGAGGGGAAGGGAGTTGGTTATTGTATTGGCTTTTTTAAACTTTTGGTTTTGTGTTTGTAACACATATTCCGGTTGCAGAATGCGAAGATAGATATTAAAATAAACGTTTTCTTGGTATTAATAACAAAATATCAAACATAAAAGTCTAGTAATCAAGTATCAATATCGAACGTAATTGATGTATTATTTTCTTCCCGACATAAAAGTAGATAACTTTTTTTTATCCTACACGAAAACGCTCGAAAAACGATTGTCGCGTGTCAGATTTACTAGATTTTTTTTATGGATTTTCAGTGGAAATTTATGCCGCGATAAACGATAAACGTCCATGGTAGGTTAGGTTTGGATGTAATAACAATAATTTTCCAAATGTCGAAGGACGACTCGTCATATTATTACTGCATCTATAATACACTATGCAGCCTCTAATAATAATATACAATATTATGTTCACAAAATCCCCAAACAAATGCACAGAATAAATATCATATTGTTATATAGTTGCTAGAATGCAGAAATAAAATATATACTACCCATGGTACGAAATAAAATGTAAAAACGTTATTAAAATGATTTTACCTGGGCGTACCAACATCTCACAATATTTTCCAGTTATAAATTTCATACTTTACAAGTGCGGAGTTTTTCACTGACCTGCGTTAGACTAAAGTCAGATTAGCCCCTCCCCCTGTGCGGGATATAATTCCTAGACCCACTCCTGCCTGCAAAATCGACTGCAGACAATTACATATACATGTACGATACGTTATGTTGCTTAATATAATACTTAAGACCCGGTTTTTTTTTACATAATACTATAGCGGGTTTTGATTGAAATAAATAAATCATATTAAATATTAATGCACATATAGGAATGACTCGCAAACAAAATATTATTATCATAACTTTTTTTTTATTTTTGCCGTGTGTACCCCAGAACCTCTATAATAATAATAATAATATAAGTATACCTATACCTACAGGTATCTTTACACTACCGTGAACACACATACGTGATCGCCCGGCTGTGACTAATTGCCGGACCGTTTCCGAATCCTGCGCCATGTGACCGTAGTAGTTTTTATTTTGTTTTTACTTAAAAAAAATCGTTTTTATATATTATTATGTGTTATTATATCGCGTGTGGTGGCTGTTACAAAATAATAAATAATATTATCATTAAAATTGTGTTGGCATGCGTACGGAAGAAGAACGGATTTCAGCGATGCGATAAGAGTATTTTTGTTTTTTTGTTTTTTCAAGTTTATGCCTCTTAGTAACTTCGGTATGTTGCAAGTCGCGGCCACGGGCAAACGTCGAGGCTAGAATTGGGCGGGATAAGTTTGGAGAGAGCGCAGGGTCGCGGGCGGAGGCGTTCGTCCATTTTGACTTGTCCCTCGCCCACCGCCTACCACGGTAACGACGCTCGATCAGCAAAAAAACATATATGCCTACAATGCAACGTACTTAAATTTAAAAAAAAAACTCAACGTTATATTGTATATGGCGGTACAAAACAGAGACGGCGACTAATTTCCATTGGAACAGTTACGACAGAATCAAAAATTAATGATAATCCGTAAAACAAATACGAACAAAAAAAAAAAATTGTGTCATTGGTCAATTTTATCAACCACTTGTTTGTTTTGGTCCCAATTAATTAATTAAGTCTTGGGCGCGACACATTACATGATTAATAACAAATAAACACCATCGTCTTTTGATTTTTAAAAGCAAGGGCGTGAAACGTCGTGCGCATAACCCGGTAGTTTACATACGTTTGAAATGCAATTCTGTTAGCAACTAACACAGTTAGATCATCGACGTACATGTTGTGTATTAAAATGATACTGTTCGTCGACGTATTATACTGCGAAACGAACTCGCAGCAAATTGAAATACACGAACTTTTCTTCTAGATCTCGGCCGAGGAAGATATCAATTTTTTGAACCCCTGCTGCTGTAAGAACCAGCTACTACCGCGCAAGCAACTATAAATACAAAGGCACCTCTGACGTCATAAATTGCACAGACCTTTTTCAGAACACAGACAATGACAAAACGCCTTTTCGGTTGCAACACCGTCGTTGTTCGATTATATTTACGACCCTCCGGACGCGCCGTAACGTACAGGTAGAGTGTAGACACATATTATAAAATATTATACTATACAACATACAGAGGTTTCCCTCACGGAGCAAACTCAATGACGAGGGCGAAAAAACGAAAGTCTACACACATATTATACCATACACGTACACATTTTGGAACATGAAAAAGGGTTAAATTGTATGAATTCGGTAGGACCTAATCTATGATCAGTATAATAGTGTATTATGTGTTATCTCAATTGTTATATCCAAAAAGGCCCAGCCCGTATAATCTATAAATAAATAAATAAATAATACCGGGTGATTGGTTAACTGTGGCCCATTCAATAACCTAAAAGATATTAGACTTTTTTGAATTTTCTTTTTATACTTTAATATTTGTTAATTAGGACAAATTTAGTATACTTAAAGTTCTAGAATATAATGCTGAAGGGCCCATTTTCGTTAGAATTTGTTTTTTTATCGTGACTATTTTTATTTAGGTAGGTATATTGTATTATATTATGGATAAAATGTAATTTACCTAAAATATGGTCTACAATAAGAGATAATTTGATTTTGGCTGCATACTTAAGGCCGAGTACGCTCTCGTATTGGGTACATTTATAATTGGTAAATTGTATTCGGTAATAATTACAGTTTTGTCTTGGACGAACGCGCAAGTTGATCAAACCGACCATCGAACCGCTTATTTTTGTGGTCAAACAATAAAACGTTGACAGCATCAGATCAGCAGACCTAATAGTGGCAATCTTCGGTTCGCAGCACACGTCTGTCTAACCGACCGAAGAGTTCTCCGACTTTTATAAGACATATATAAATAACATTATCACGAGCGTTGCCGCAATTGCCGACAACGTTTTATACTCATTTCTTAGGTCTTGCGTCTTCTACGGAACGGAACCGGTTGCGAGGCTAATATACAAAACGAACGTGGCGTGCGTGCGCGCCGTGTGTATCATAATATTACCGTCCTAATGATATTGTGCATCGCGGACGTAATAAAGGGTAATTACCGTTCTCGTCCGCTTATCGAGGGAAATTAAAATCGAACGTTGCAGAGAAAAACATAAGAGGCGGACAGAGGGAGAAACAGAGAGTGGATAACAGATCGGCACTGAAATTATTATACGCCGCGATATTATTAATTTCATTATACAACGGAATCGACGGCAGGCAAGGACGTTCTAAAAATACTACTAAAATTACACACCACGGTCGAACGAATGTCGGACAAACGCGAAATCGATTAAACATATTATTTTCGAGTTGCAAAACCGCTACAAAAAGTCGACTTACAAAAATTGTAAGTAACAGGTATTACAATTTAGTTGTTACCTGATACCTCCTCCTCCCCCCCCCCCATTGCAAACGTCTTCAGGGTAAATTATTCAAAAGGTGTCTATTTTGTGAACTCCAGTTAAACGTATGTCTACATTGCGTTTTTGAAATATTAAATTTTATCTTACCTGGTTGGTGGCCATGTCTATGACGACGTAGATGAGAAGGACAATCTCGTGTTCGTCGGACCCGAGCAGGTTGCCCTGGTGGCCGGCGGTGGCCACGTACAAGGCACATAGGTACGGTTGGGTCACTCGCATCGCAGTGGCCGCCGTGCTGTTCTTCCGGAGGGTGTCGCTGCAGTCCTGTTGTGGTTGCTCCACCTCCTCTACCTCCCCCGTCGTCCTAATATCACAGTCCGTCGGCGGTACGTTGGATGTCATTCCCCATCACCTGTGTACAAAAAATAAAAATAAAAAAAACAGTTAAATAATGGAAAATTCCAATCTTGAGCACAAACGCGTTAATAAGTTTAAGGTGACAGTGCGGCCATCGCTGCCTCTTCAAATTTTCATATCACATATTTGTTAATTTACATATAACGGTAAATTAAGTCCAAATGCCATATTGTACGTGTTGAAAATAATATATTTTAGAGTAAAATATTGTATCGTAATATAACAATACAGTGTAACCCCCTCCCCTGTATACACTGACGCGAGGATTTGACATATTTATTCAAATTTCTATGTAAGTCTGTCAAGAACTAGTGCGACCGTCACAGTACATCTTCAGATCGAATGAGGCGAATGTGTAATATTTATGAAGTATTGTCTTATCGGTTAATATATAGTTTAAAACATTCAATTAAACTTCAAAATTGTTGATTATTTAATATAAGAAACGAATTTACATTGATTCCATTTGCTTAGAAATACCTACTCCGTTTGATCGCATTATTCTTTTGGAGAAAATACAGACTTTGCCATGAGGTAACGGAATCGATGGGTAAAATATTTGTTATGTATATATATAATAATATAGTAATAAAAGACATCTAATATCCATTTACCTATAACTCAAGAAGTCGTTAACAAGCCCGAAATGCATTGTTAAGAAAAATTGTGCATAGTAAACGTGGGTAAAAACTTAAGTCATTAATTATAATAAATAGTTTGATATTTTTTTTAACTAACATCTTGAATGAGTATATTCTTTACAGTTATGAAGTTCGACCGGCGGCAATAACTAATATAAATTATGTTAATAAAACGAATTTTCACGACCTTGGCAATGTTTACACTGAAGTTCCAGGTTATGGTATAGGTAATAAAATGTAATGGGGACACGTCACTTTTGCCCAGGGCCGTCGTCTTGGTGTGCAATATCGCATTACATGTTATAATATTGTGTTTTTGGACAGGAGACACGTGACAAAAATCGTTTGATGTATCGGACACCCGTTTCTGAATAATCCACGAAGAAAACCCATTTGAATTCGATAAAATCTGACAGAATAATATTAAACAATTTTGTAATTGAAACGAATTTATACTGAGGTAATTTTTTTTTATATTCATTGTTTTGTTCTTTTGTCATACCTACTCTATCGATGATACGATTTCTCTTTTTTTTTCTCGAGGAAAAAAAACGTCACACCAAAAAGACTAAACGTACACCGTATATACAACTAATAAAGTGAAGGGTATTGACGCGCGTATGCTATAATACAATAAAACAGCCTTCTGCCTTAAACAATATACCTAGAATCTTTCATGTTGAACTGTAAACTTTTCATTAAAAAGAAATAGAACGTATTAAATAATATTTTCAACTACAACTTTTACCCAGCTCAATTGATTACTTGCCCAAAATTGGATTGTTTTACTCAGGTAATAAGAGTATGAGTGCCTAGTTTAAGAGGCAAATGCCATGATTCTTGATTATTTTGCATAGTGTTCAATGGTGATAATATAGATATTCCGTATTGCTTGAATTTAAATATTTTATCTGCATTGTTTGGATCTTTACGAAGAAGTATGGGTCAGTAGGTCAAACAATCGAATATTATTTTCAGATGTATTTCTATCGCAGCAGCAATTTTAGTTTTCAAGTATGTACAGGTACATCCATATGGTATGAGAAAATATGGCAACTCTTGTGTTAAACCAACTCATTTGCACACTCCTAGTAGTAACATACCACGCAATGACTTCAGACATTTCTTCAAGTTATCCTGATATTTGAAACAAGTGCTTACGACTACGGTTGGTTACTTCCTCGACTGTAGTGCAATGATATAGCAGCCAATAATGCATCCAACCGTTTTCATGGCAATTTTTCTCGTGTACGCGACACAAGTGTTCCGTAACCAAAGGAAATTCTCTGACAGTCACTAATTGTCGTCGAACGGGTACTTTTGAGATTTTAACGAGGTGCGCGGTTATTAGCGCAAAGGATCGTAACCCGGTCATAGACCAACGACGACAATTATTATTATATAGACCAAAACCAACAGATACGTTCAGGTTCGGATAAAAAAAAAAAATATATATATATATATATGTATATTAATGAGACCGCGGCTGAGTAGGCTTTCACAGTCACCGCAATGGCGATCCGAAGTGGTGATGGCCGGAAACCGTTGCACGGCCGATGAACCTGTGGAAAATAATTTTTTTCCCGGAACAGGTGGCCGTACAGAAACAATATGATTTTGTATCGATACTCAGGGTAGGCGTGGGGCGGGGGGGGGGGGGGGGGTGCAGCGAGGAAGAGGCGAACAGGGTTTGATACACGCGACACGGTCGGAAGGACGTTGATAAAATATATGAACGGTTTCGAGTGGTAAACTTTTGTGTGGTATATTTTGTACTTGGGCCGACAGTTTGTGTGACGAATTGGAGCAAAAACGACGACCGCTCGTCAAACGCCCGTTCAACTTAACCGAAACACTACTGGCCTAGATGAAAACATCTTGTGACCCGGACGCCTTGAGGAGAGACCGTCGCGGGTTATACGCCAAACCACAGACAAAAATATGTATTCTGTGGCCAAACTAACTAGAGTTGTTTTTTTATATTATTTTTTTAGTATTACATAATAATAAAATAATACCACATTGCAGTTTTGACGACCTCGGTGAGAATTCGTTTGAAAAAACCAGATCGAAACACAAGCATGCCTGGTCGCGACGTACGAATAAACGCCATACCTAATTAGTATGTATATATAGATAGGTACACAATAATGTTATAATAATACATTGGTATCAGTCTCGAACGCATTATCACATGTACGATCGGTACGATACGCACGTCACATACATTGTAATTTTACGGACAACAATAAACAACCCAGGACTATTACAGCGTTATCTAGTGAAAAAAAATCTTATACTTTTGTTTTGTCGGTCGGTACAGAGTAATGTAATAACGTTAATATACGAGCTGTGATTATTTAAAATCTGCAGACAGGATGTCGAGAGCATAGTATAATAATATGTACAGTATAGTTGAATAGTTCTGCCGGCCAACGAAATATATACCTAACATTATTATGACCTAGGCATAACATAATATCATCAGTATCCCATTCCCCATATGGTGCTCCGGCTAAAACAAAAATAGTCGAAAAATCGATACACAACCAAAACAAAAACCGTTACCACGATTTGGTGGACTTTTCAAGTACACCCGGATCAACAAAATAAACAAATCCCTAGGACAAGTCGTCGCGGTGGACCGGACGCGATTTCGAGAGAAAAATTAAAAAAAAAAAAAAACGTGTCCATGTAAAAAAAACCAATCGCCGCGTCTTAAACCAGTTATTCGTGTTACTCGTTTCTCTCTCGGTGTACACACATTATAGTTGTATACTATAATATGGACGCTCTTTCACCGTAACGAATAGTAAGTATCGTACCTGCATTCGTATCAGTAAGTAAAAACAACAGTAGTAAGTAGTCGGACTTTGTGGTCGCCCACTCAAAGGACAAACCGGCAAAAATATTTTAATAAGATGCGACGTACAATAATAATAATAATTACTAGGTACATCCCCATTTTGCGAGTAGGAAAATTACATTTCCGGTTGGGAAATGGCCGCGGTACAACTTCTTGAGGTCCTCGTGCAATCATCATTAGATATAACATTGTATTATATTACTTAAACACACCGGGGGCACCGCCTTCGACGACGAATGACACACATCACAGCGAATAATAATATAATACCGTACACGACATAATAATCATTACTGTTATTATAGTATCGTACACGGTAGACACACGGACCTCTGTCGAAATTTCCACTAAAAAATAAAATCCCACAACTTGTAAGTACACAATATATATATACAGGTATAATGAATCCGCTTGAGTCGCTTTAGAATAGGGCACCAGTGGAAGCCAAACGCCGCACGGTATGTGGTGTTATGTAATCCCTTCACCTTTAGCCCGTCTATCGTCGCTACCCGTTTGAAGGGTCTCCGAGTTTAATTTGAGTGGTCAATACAATACTGAACTTAACGTTTGGTATAATTTGTCGCTGTCGTCGGTTAGTGTGATGGAAATAGAAAAAAATTAACTGACTAATTTTTCAAAGAACTAATTTTTTCTCCAATTTCAAGAAAGTTGAGCTATTAAATCAATTATTCACACACAGAAATGGACTTGTCTTTATGGAAAATGTATTTCATAATTATCCTATCAGTATTCGAGATTATATCAAAATAAAGGAGAAAAATTAATAAATTATCACCGAAATATCAAAATAATTTGGTAATTATTTTTTTTCGCTTTTCTAGATATAATTTACCCATTCATCGTGATCTATTTCAAAAGAAAAAATCAACACATGTGTATGCCATATTTTTAGCAGTGGCGTAACTAGACTTAGGGAGAGGCTCTAAAGTCAATATAAATAAGGACGCCGAATTTAAACAGTCCTAAATTAAATGGAACGTTTTCAGCTTCCCGTTTCACCCCTCTTGCCTATCCCCTCTCTCCCCTAATTACTATTCATCTTCGCCTTATCCCATATAAACGAGGTCAACCTAAATTTTTATTCGTCACATTGTCTTCATTTGCTCCAGACATCTCTAAATCACATCCCTCATTGAAATAATTAGACGGGGGCTAGGGTAAAATTCCTTCTTAACTTCTATAGGCTCTTAAAAAATGTCAGCAATAAATTTGGCGTAGCCCTAATAACGGTTTTATATTTTACCGAAATTCTAAGGGAGCTTTTTTCATCCACCCTCATCTTTTTTGATCTACCTCTATACATTTAAATCATTTTACATTGATCTCCGTCTAACTTGTTTTATTTTTTATTCATCATGTCCAAACGTCTCAAACTGACTTTTCTCATTTTTTTCTGCTATTGGCATAACACCAAAACTGTTTCTTATATACTCAATCTTAATTCCATCTAACCTATTCACTCCACACGTCCATCTCGCCATTCTCATTTCAGTCACTTCCATTGTCCTTTCATCTTTCTCATTCAGCGCACAACAATCACTTCCAAATATCATTGCTAGCCTCCCTACCATTTTATTAGGTTTTCCTTTCACTCTAATGTCACACAACGTCCCCGTTGCCTCATTCCACCTCAATTAACATTATTCTATTTACATCTTCTTCAAATTCAGTGTCCATTATAGTCTTGCATAATTTATCATCAATTACTATAAATTCTACCAATATAATAGCAATACTATTTATTAATTATCCCATTGCTACTTTATTTCAAACAATTAATAGTTATAAACGCTTTTTTTAGCACTTTGTAAGAGTAGAGCTCAAGTATATTATTTACGTTTTGGTCAATGAAGTAGCACAGAAATATATTAGTTGCATCAGTGACTCTGAGAGAGGCTGAGCCAGTTTTAGGGGAGAGGGTATTGCGCATTAAGGTTTAAGACGGATATTTGAGGCCATCCCGTGAAGATTTTCTTAATCTAAGCGACAAGTACAGGAGGAAGGTGGGAGCGAGTTATCAAAAATACCTTTACCGAGACACCATTGGGAATGTCAACTGCTGTCGTCTTACGGCTATGCATCACGAAGCATACTCCATTAAAAATTATTATTGTTCAGGAAAATTGTTTAAAAAGAAACGTGCGGTGTCGTTCGGTCAACGACAAAAACATTTGAAATTTGTGCGAAGTCAGCTGGTCTTATTATAGATGTATAGTATAGGCTAACTGGCAGGATAGAAGAGGGCTACCAAAACTGTGCAAAACCTATTGACTAGTTAACTCATTTTCAGGATACAAAAAAAACAATTATCTATACAGGGTTGCATTAACTTTCACTGAAATATGATATTGAATCAATAGACATTAAGTGCGGTTCATCACTTTTGGTTCATCACATTTTAACAATTCATAAACTTTATAACATTTTCATGCAATTCTACGTCAAGGTTCAATGTTCTAAAGTCTTTTGGACACCCATAAAAAATATTATTATTTAAGTACTGTATATTTTACGAGTTTTACAAATTGATTATTTTAAAGGGCCATTAAAATGTAAAGAACAAACCACGGGTCTCTACTCTATTTGATGTAAGAAGACACCGTTAATCATATAAAGATTCATTAAAACTTAACGCAACTTGGCATAAATCAACCACTCTATGCACGAGAGTGGTTGATTTGATTGTAGTTGGAACTGATTTTTTTTTTTGTATACTATACAATAATACTGAAGTAATAGTTTTTTAACAAAATCAACTTAAATTAATTAATGAAAGTATTAAATAAATAATCTTAAATCATAAATTCTTAAAAACAAAATGTAAAATATTATTTTAGAATCCGAAAAAATAAAAACACAAATATTCGCGTCATCTCATTATTGAAACGCCAATATTACTACAACCACATAAAATGTATAACATTTGCATTTTACAAGTATTACTTACAAGGAAGCTGAGCGGCAATTTATAGTTGAATAATCGCCATAAAGGTTAGTCAAGTTATAAATGACATAATTTATGGATAACATATTGACTCCCTAATAGCCAATAGATAGCAATTACTTTTTTTGCGTTAGGGCGACAATAAGTTTGCTCTTTACATGCATATGATAAGTACAAAGCTTTATATACCTACACCAGCTCCGCTCTGGTCTGGTCGGTCGACAGTGCGTACAATCTGTTTGTCGGCTGACGCGACGTACCTAATTGTTTACCAGCCGTTTAACAGGCTAATTAACGTTTGTTGTATGTGATAAGTGTTAATTCGGGCCGGTGATACTATGGTTCGACTTTCACAATGTTTACGACCACTATGGCGACGACGATCGTAATCCGCGGTGTTATGTGCGTTTTCTAATTAGAAAATATTATATCTTGTGAAATCCAAACCAAATGTAGCGTAAAACTGCTTGAAACCGGCAACAAACGAACCGATGCGCGTATTTACGCACTGAAAACCTCTGGTGTAAACATTCGACGTTTTGTCCGAACCGTGTAGTAATGGTAAAAAATATTTTAAGGTTTAATTGCGGGAACGAGACTGAAAAAAAACGCCGAACCGGAAACTCGATATAATACTCGACTTCACCACCAGACGCCAGGTATCATTGATAAATAATATTATTATTATTATTATTATCGTTTACACTATCAATAGAACCGTTCTCGACTGCTCTGTTTACCGGCTGTCTAACAGTTACACTACGGCTAGCGAAAACATTACATTACATATTATTATATTTTTGTGTTTTGTTGTAAATAAGTGATAAGACAAATCTAATTTTAGACGATATTTTAACGGGGTTAATTGATTTTTTTTTTTTGTTATTTCGACGGGGGTTGTCGATGAAATTTGTATTTGTATGTTTTACAACCGCAGTGCGATCGACCATTGTTTTTGGTGCTGGGAACGTTAAAAATTCTTGTCGATACATCCACGTTGATTGCGCGGGGGCGAGCGAGAGGGAAAACAACAACTGACAGGGACACGATATAATATACCTGTTGCTATCGTCGGTGGTAAATTTTTCATAAAAAAAAAAAACCATCGCACGCGTGTGCAACACAATATTTATGATAATAATTGTTGTTTGTTATCGTTTATACTCACCGTTTACCCCTTTTTTTTTTCGTATCCGTTATCCGCCGGGTTGTCCCTCGTCCAAAACAGGATAAAATTTGCTTCTGGATTTACACACGGATAACGCGATCGCGACGTAAGAAAACTAATAAAACGATAATACAATTGATTATTCTGAAGCGAACTTTTTTTTTCCTTATTCTTTTGACGGAGATCTATTTATTTATTTTTTTTTATCTAATAACGATCCTGCGCGGCCACGGCGGACGGTGCGGTTTCGTGTGTACAGGAATTCGACGGATTCCTTCGGCGGACAGGCGCGTTTTCCACGAGCATACACCACACACGGTTTAATTTTTTTTTCCCCGAAATTTTTCTACTACTTACTAGACGTATTGTTTAGGTACGACGGATACCCAAAAAAAAAAAAATATATATTTAAAAAATAACCCGACTCGCGTGAAGCTTGTGTGTGAGTGTGTGTGAATGTGTGCAAGTATATGTGTGCGTGTACCGTGTGCGAACCGAACGTGCGCGCACACCGGAGAGACCGAACGTTGACGAGTGTCGTCGGCGCTCGGTTGCGTTGTAACTTGTAACCAACCGGCCCCGAGGTAGGTAGATAGGTAGGCAGGTAGGTAGGACGGAGGCAGGTAAGCATACGATAATGTACAGTATAGATATATTCTAGATATTGTACGCCACACGGGCGGCGGCCATGGAGTAGGATATACAGTGTGTACGCCACAGGTAAAACGGTGCGCGGCGGCGACGGCGGGGGGGGGGGGCAACCAGGTGATACGGCCAGGTGAACCAGGTATTTCGGTGCGCGCTAGCGCTACGCGTATTACGGCGGCGACCCCCACCAGAGAAACCGGCTTTCGCCGCCGCCCCGCCGCTCCCCTCCACAGTCGAAGCGGCCGTCTTTCCCCGCCCGCCGCCGCCGCCGCCTAACACCGTTCTTTTTACGTATTTTGCCCGGTTACCGCGGTATCCCCACCGCCGCTACCTCCGCGGTATATCGTCTTTCCTCTAGTTTGCCCGTGGATCTTCTTCGCGGGTGCCGCCGCCGCCGCCGCCACGGGCCACGACGCTTCGCCGAGAGCTGGTAGCCGGTAGGGACGTATAAGCGACCTTCGCCGTTGCCCCAACGTCACACATATGACCGTAATATGGTAAAATAATACCATATAATATAATATCTATTAATGTGGCTGCTGGTCTATAAAATAATTTCAATGTATACAATGCTATGTACTATGATTATCGCCGACGATGAGCGCATCGGTTTTTTGGATACGGCTGCTCTAGTGGTGAACATCGCGTATAATAATGTAGTACTGTCTTATTATAAACGCTGCCCGACCTGATCGATCGGTTATCCGGTTAGTGAAAAATTATCAAAAAAAAAAAAACCTTCCGAGTGGATCTAACACGGGGAGTCAGTTTTGTCACTCGCGTTACATGTTTATTGAGGTCAATTTATTGAGTATAACATATATCTAGGACAAAACGCCAAAACGAACAAACTATTGAAGCACCCCCCCCATCCGCAGAACTTTTTTTGAAACTTACCCTGCATGTCTGTTACAATAAAAGAAATGTTCTTAGATTTTTTTTCGATTATTTTGGCCGTATAAAGTGTTTTTAGATTTTTTTTTTACTCTTCTTTTTTATCGTTTTTTTAGAGTACCTTCAGCCATAAAAAATAATAAAATAGATTAAAAATCCGGTTTTTTATGTAAAATAATCTCAACTTTATGAAAAAAGTATTAATTTTTTTTCGAGTAGGAGAAAAACATTAAAATTGAGTTTATAATCTATAAAGTTGGTTTTTCGTGTTGCCTAAAATTTTAGACTGTCTAATATTTTTTTTCGTAAACAGAAAATTTTACATAAAATGTGTATATTTCAAACTGGTTTCTCCAAAAAATCGCTTAGGAAAACAAAAGAAAGTCGATTGACCACGATTTCACGAAGTGTTATCCGACTGGTTCAAAATTTGCTTCCAATAAAATCTTTTAGCTTCATACAAAGCGAAGTATTTGTTATCAAATGTATTTTAACGTTAATAAATAAACTAACAGAAAATAGTATTAATTACAACAACACTACATTGCGGCCTTCAAACTAGTGCAGGTTTTAATTATGTAATACCAAATTTATAATTCTAATTTCTATAGTAAACAAACATTTTTTTTTCTATAATAATTATACACTTCTACGAGTATTAAAATAATACTTGTATACAACTAACTAGAACAGATAGTTTCTAAAATTAAGGTCAGTAATATATAAAAAAAAATGTAGATTGCTTCAGACTTCTGGTTAGTACAGTATCTAGTATCAAGAACTAGTGTTCTGTCTTTTATTGAGAGACCTCGATGCGAAAGCGGTAGTAAACATTCTCAACTAGAAGTATATATTTTGAAGACAAAACAAATGTACAAGTTTAATACAATACAGTAAACATTGAATTAAACGTTAAATAGTTTAATACCTATATTATATAATGTTGATATTTATTGAATTTATCACACAGCTTGTACTACGTTCTATTTAATTTTAACCATGTCTTTGTATAGTATATTAATAATTAATAACTAATACACTAAAATATATTTAAGTACCCGTTATTAAGTAAATAATGTGTTGTACTCAGCTCGATGGCCCGGCGTTGTAGTACTATTATAATAATATGGTAATGTTTTATCAATACTTAAGTACACAAACTTGGTAGTACAATAGTGCACATCAGCACATCGTACGTAGGTTATATAATTTCGTGTAATGAATTTGCTAGGTTCTACATATAGAAAGCATAAAATCCCAATTACATTCTCGTAGCAGTCGAATTTAAAACGGTGTATCATATAATAGGCATACGGACTGTCGTGAAAACAGTAGTTTTTAGGTCAAAAACTACTGGAACCGAAAGAAATGAACCGTGTGGTTTTTTTCATTAGGTTATGCCAATATACATTGGCTATGTAAGTTAATTGTACATAGAACAGACCCATACAGCACCGGTGGATCCGATAAAAACCCTATTTGTTGCGCGTTATTGTTTTATCTTATAAGTTTGACTTAGTTTTCATTAATTTACACCCACACAGTATAAAATCTGTTAGCTTGTTAAATGACAATATTTTGGATTGACAATCTAGAACAACCGTGTTGTATACGTCATACTCATTGAATAATATTGTGTTTGAATTTTTATTATCGGCGAAGACGTCGGTGTAGTGAACGTCCCTAAGAAATTCGACTTTACCTTTAAATCTTACTTTTCAACCGTTGAGTATAGACAACTATTTTCAAGTATTAAATTTTGAGCAAAAATAATTTGTGCATACTTATTGGGATAGTAGTGAGGATATAATTACTGGAAGTAATTATTTTTCTTAGATTATCACAGCCTTCGTTAAAAATTATTTTCCTCTCGCTTTCCTAATGCAGCTTCAATGAGCACCTGAAAAGGTATTGTTTTTTATTTTTGTACATAGACAAAATATCGAACCATTTTTGTGGGCCTAACTTAGACCTTTGGCCCTGTACATTTAAGTCCTTCACCTCATGACGCCCGTTTCACCACGACAAGTAATGTAATTTTGTAATTTCTTAGGTATCATCAATCATCATTAATTATTATAACTTATATATTATAGGTACCTAACAAATGTGTAATATTTTTTTTTTTAATAATTTGATTAATTGAACACAAATTATATCAATAATCATTTTTAGCTTTGATGGGGAACTGAGAAGGTATTGGTTTTACAATTATGTGTTTTTTTTCGACGCTGAACCTGTTTCTTCATACAAAAAGTCTATAAATCAGAAATCATACATGAACGGTACTTTATAGAGCTAAAAGTAAAAATAATCCACCCTTTTCCCTTCATAATTGTAAAAACACCCGAAAAAATTTACATATTTTACAACTTAAATTGCGGCGCGCTATATATTTTTTTTTGGAAATGTCAAATTAGTTCCAAACTTGTATGGGATATTTTTTAGATATATTATTATCGATGTACTTTATCAAACCGTTAACAAATTTGGGTTTATAATGCGAGTGGGAACTATAAATGTCTTACGAGTTCGAAAACGGTCCTCTCGTTTTGCGTAGATGTTAATCATATTCTTTAAAACTAAAAAATATGTGTTTTGCCAATTAACAAAAGTGTATCCTTCTTTTTATAAACAGTTCCAAACAACAACAAAAAGTGTAGGAGAATATTATACTATTATTTTTTTATATAGATTTTAATTTTCCAAGATAAAAAATAAAAATAATAAAAACTGTTTATTTAAATTAAAAAAAAAAAATAGAATTTCAATAACGTGAAAAAGAATACTTCTTGAGATCACGTTTAAGCCTACTTTCGCAGATGCATGTCGAACTCAATTTAACGAAACACATATCTATTTAGGTCTTGGTTACTTTTTTTATGTACTTTTAACGACCATATAAAAAAAAAATTGTTAACGTGGATAATGCTTTCGAGTTCCATTAAAATTTTTGGACGGTGACGATAATACACTATGCATATCATGTTATACCGTTTTGATAATAATATGTTCTATAGCATCGCCTTTGAATACCACAAGTGGATGGCACTAAGTAAAAACTATTGGAATATTTACTTTACTTTGCGCCTGAAAGTCTACAAAAACTTAAATTTACCAATTGGCGCCGTTCGTTTATTTCTAGCTAACATAATATTATAACAGAGTATCAGATGTTCTTTATTTACTATATATGTATCGGTCACTCATTATAGCTGTAGATCATAAGTAATAGGTACAAGAACGTTTTACGTTACACCCCGGTGGAAATGGGAAATTTTCAAGTAGTCATCAAACTTAAAGGCCGTCGCTCATTTATCTATTACACGCGGTTTCAAGTGGGCTTAGGTGAATTGCAATATAACTGTACTTGCAGCGGCTCGCCGATATAATAGTATAATAGCTATGAACTACAGGAGATTTTTTTTTTATCGCTTCGAAATTCTATTGTGCGATTTGTTCTCCAGACGCGTAACATAATAACCAAATAAATCTGCGGACACACACACACACACATGTATTCCACCTGTATATAAGTAGAATACAAGATGATGCTGTTATATTCTCTAACGCCTCGGCCTTTTTTTTATTTTTTTTTTATTGTACTTACACTATAGTCGTCGGTCGCGCGCCAGCGGATAAGTGCCGGGTCCGGGCTAGAAAACAATTATTATAATGTTATAATATATTATTATTATATACCGATAATTGGTCACCCCTTAACGCGATTGCAAGCGTGTGTGACAAAATTATATCGTCATTATTATTATTATTATTATTATTTGTCAATGAATAGAATAATGAAAAAACGACGTTCGCAATACTTTTATATATGTGTATACATTAATTGTACTATATTATATTATGATTCTTATTTTTCTCACTCCAGGGCCGTTTCACAACGGTATGGATGTGCTCGGGCTGCGTCTGTTATCTGATGGCACGACAACAACGACGCTAGTGCATCTCTATACACAGTAGGTATACTTGTATAAGTATAGGCCACAATCGAACAACAACAATAAT